TATCTGTCGCTACAACTTCAAAATACATATTAAATGGATAATAGTTATCTACGATGCAAAATTCGACGCTAGCGCAGATTTGGCAAAAAAAATGGTTACTATTTATGACAACATTGCCATATGGGATGACAGGATCAGAAAGACGTTTAGCCTGGATTTAATGGCTAATCTAAGATTCTTAAATTGATAACTGAGAATTTATGAGTAATGTTGCAGTTATTAATTCGTTTTGTAGAGTTGATTATTATTTAAATACTGGACGCAATAGTAAGGAGCATAATAAGCGAAATTAATATTCTGTTGCAATATAAAATGCGATGGCAAGTATTGTCTTAAGTTCATGTATAACTCAAATAGGATATCTTGAAGTTTATCCTCCTTATTAATAAAAATCTAGAAGTACTTTTACATTTTTTTTGTGGGTATGACTTCCAACAGAATTTAGCAATTCTTGGCGACGATTTTTTTATACTTGAATCGAATACAAAATATTACGAACTCTTTTTATTTAATGCTACTAATCTGTATCTCAAGTTATGATCAGTAGTTGGTAGGATTTAATCCCTCATTGCTATAGAATAAGCAAAAATACGAGATTCTTAAAGAAAGTCTAGTTTCGGAAAATATTCATTCTTGAGAGAAATTTCATTAAATTAATTCATTAAAAGAAGTAGACTTATATTAGATAGACAGGCATTTGAGCACGAAAGATTAAAGTATCGATATGTAATCTTTATGTTTTATAAATGAAAAAATTATAACTGGCTTTAATAAGAATCAAATGGTGTTTACAAGCATAAATTAACTTAAAATTCTTTTACAAGTTTCCACTAATCATATAATTTTATGAATTTAGATAACTTGGATTACTTTGGAAAGCGTAACATATTTCTAATAAATTACTGTTTCTATTGACAAGCTGAGCAAGTCAATGAGTATACCTACACTGTTATTGCGACTTTAGCCATATTTAAAATTTTTTGATTGGATAAAGGGTATTTTCATAATAGCTATGCTAACAAAAGCCATTAATGCTTTAAATTTTTTAATAGCCGAAAAGTGCTGAAAGGTAATGAGTAAAATGATTACCATGGCCAAATTTCTATCTAAATTAGCATATACTAAAAAAATATAATTTGATATTGAGAAGTAAACATTTTGGTCTTCTTTTATTGTATTTAATTATTAATAACAGCTAATAAAGAAAGAAGCAAAGATGATCTCATTCATATAACAAATTTATGGCATTGTAAAATTTTAATGATGATCGAAGTAAATTCCAATTTTGGTCTGTCGACTGATATTAGGCTTATAAAGTGATATTATTTGCGCGTGTTTAAATTTATGGTATTTCATCGTTGTTGCATGAAATCGATTCTTGACTCAAGCAAGTAATTATTTCGGAATCATGCCAAAAGTTTTCAACCTGCTTTTTATTTTACACATTGTGAGTACGATTTATGCCGTTATACTAACAATTGTTGCTGTTATATAAATGTTACAGTGTTATATA